TACTTCATATGCTTGGCATATGGTTTTACCTCTATACTGTTTATTGATATTAGAGCCTTTATGAAAGCTAACTAAGCTCTCAACATTGATATGCAATTATTGAAAAATGGACTATAACAAATCATCTTTCTTTAAATAAAACACTTTATTTTTTTATATCATTCATTGTGATAATTTCTGTTGTTTGTTTATGTAGACACAGAGAAGACTCAATATTAGTTTATTTATGTTTATGTGTGTTAGTGTAATTAGTTGTGATTGATGTCCTTATCCCTTTGCCAGGTATAAGAGTAAATTCAAATAGATTATGATATTGAGATTGTCATACATATACACAGATAATAGCAGGGATGGATTTTCATTTTTTCCTTTTCTTTTCTTTTCTTGCATTATCTTAATATTGTGCTTGTTTTTTGCTGATGTGCAGGCACACGCACACACATGCACACTCACTCACTCACTCACACTCACACTCACATTCACACACACTCGCTCACACTCACTCACTCACTCACTCACTCACTCACTCACACACTCACTCACTCACTCACTCACTCACTCACACTCACATCACACACTCGCTCACACTCACTCACTCACTCACTCACTCACTACACTCACTCACTCACTCACTCACTCACTCACTCACTCACTCACTCACTCACACTCACTCACTCACACTCACTCACTCACACTCACTCACTCACTTCACTCTCACTCATCACTCACTCACTTCACTCACTCACTCACTCACACTCACTCACTCACTCACTCACTCACTCACTCACTCACTCACTCACTCACTCACTCTCTCTCTCACTCTCTCTCACACAGATACACACACACACATTGATACATACACACACAGATACACACACACACACAGATACACACACACACAGATACACACACACATACACACACACACACATACACACACAAACACATACACACACATACACATACACACACAAACACACACAAACACACACACACACACACACACACCATACACGCACACACACACACACACACACATACACACACATACACGCACACACATACACGCACACATACACGCACACACACACACACCACACACACACACACACACACACACACACACACACACACACACACACACACACACACACCACACACACACACACACACACACACACACACACACACATATATATGTATGTATTTCTATGTGTGAGTGTGTTTCTGTATATACATACATATTATTCCAAGTGATACAGTGGTAAGTGCTGCAGTTTGAATATATACCAAAATTTCCAAAGTTCCTTATAAATACAAAACCATATAACTTATACTCTTTAAGTCCCCCCAGTTGCTGATGGGTCTGGGGACTCAAGGCGTGGACAAGAAAAGTCCCGCTTCCATTGCTTGTCTCTTAGCTGCTCACGGTGCTGACCTCAACATTAAGAACAAGAAGGGCCAGACTCCACTAGACCTGTGCCCGGATCCTAACCTGTGTAAAGCCCTCACTAAGTGTTACAAGGATAAGTCTGTGTAAGTGAGATATGTGGAAAGTTCATTTATGGTTTGTGTTGTGTCTAAACCAAAGGATGTGAGATATCATCGTCTGAGTATTTTCTTTTTTAAGTGGTTCATTATGGTCATTCAATGGAATATACATTATCTGATTTTTCTCTTTTCCTGTATAGGTTATGCCACTAAGATTAGTACCTCTTGATTTTCCTTTTTTTATGAAATGTTTTGCTTCTTGCTATGATCATAAAAGAAAGGAATTCTACTAATATTTCAGGTCTGGAGACATTGGCAATCTCGAGGTGTGTACAGAAGAAAGCCTTGAGGAATGCATGGTGTGTTCAGACACAAAAAGAGACACACTGTTTGGTCCTTGTGGCCACATAGCTACGTGTTCTATATGTTCACCACGAGTCAAAAAGTGTCTTATGTGCAAAGAACCTGTACAGTCAAGAACAAAGGTAAGGAATTTTATGCCATGAAGGTTTTGTTCATACTTAGATCTTGATAAATTTTACTCAGAATTATTCTTTATCATTCAATTGTTCACTTACTCCTTCACCATGATGTTGTCGCTATCTCTCACTCTCATTTCAATGCCCATTTCAATCTTGTATTCTTACTCTTTCATTTTTTTCCAGATTTGTTTACATATGCTTACATTATAATTTAATCAAAGTCACTCACCCGATACACCCACTCATGACAGACCCCCCCCCCCGCCCCCTCTCTCTCCTTCTCTCTCTCTCTCTCTCTCTCTCTCTCTCTCTCTCTCTCTCTCTCTCTCTCTCTCTCTCTCTCTCTCTCTCTCTCTCTCTCTCTCTCTCTCTCTCTCTCTCTCTCTCTCTCTCTCTCTCTCTCTCTCTCTCTCATCTCTCTCTCTCTCTCTCTCTTCTCTCTCTCTCTCTCTCTCTCGCTCTCAAGAAATATAAATTGTTTTCACAGATTGAAGAATGTGTGGTTTGTTCAGACAAGCAAGCAACAGTTCTATTTCAACCTTGTGGTCATATGTGTGCCTGTGACAATTGTGCCTCATTGATGAAGAAGTGTGTACAGTGTCGAGGAGTCATCGAAAAACAGATCCCATATATTGTCTGTTGTGGGGGCCAAGGTATGTTGTCATTATTTTTTTTATTGTTTTTTTTTTTTTTTTTTTTTTTTTCTTCCTCAAGAACTCCTAATAGAAGTATTTGAATGTCAACTTTTATTTTTTTTTTTTACATGAAAAACAAGGCTAAGGAACATCAAAATTACATTTATTGTAAACATATCCAGCATAGATAGTATAACATTAGAATTGGTCTATCTTTTGGTGAATCTGATTTTTAAAGGTTTTTCATGTATGTCTGCATATGGTATAGGTTCTGTGATATCTTTTCTTCAAAGATGAGGCAATGAACTTTTATTAGAGTGCATATGTAGTCAAATTTTGCCTCAAAATACTAGCTAATGCCCTACCAATATCTTCTTAAAATCTCACTTATATAATATATATATTATATATTAGTATATATATAATATATATATATATATATATAGTATATATATATATACTATATATTATATACTATATATATATATATATACATACATACATACTATACATATATATATACACACACACACACACACATATACAAACACACACATATGTGTATATATACTTATGTACAGTATATATGTATTTAGAAATTCTGTATCTCACTTTGGGCAGAAAAAAATTCCTCTATATAATTACTATAGAAATAAGTGTCACAGCATTATTAAATATGAGAAAGATGTAATTTATTTTTGATATAAGTATATATTTTCATGAGCTATATTCCTGTATATGAGCTCAGTAATCAGATTCCAGTAATTTTTAACAAAAGGAAAAAACTTGTGCATTTCAAGCTGTAATAGTGAACATTTAATTTATTCCCTTTTTTATTCAATTGAATGTTATTACTCTTTTGTTGTAAGAAATCATATATTTTTGTAAAGATTTTGAAGATACTATAATTATATCAAAGATTAAATGACACATGAAGAAAAAATTGATTTTTGCTATTCAGTCTATACTGCGTATTTTGCAACTCCGTTCCAGCTTCTTAACCAGATATTTTAATATTCCAGCTCCCGCATCAATTCTTCCTGGTGGTGCCAACAATAGTAGTGCTGGTAGTAGCATAGGTGGCAGTGGTGCAGGCAGTAGTGGTGGCAGTAATAATGCTGGCAGTGTAGTTTCGGCAGCAGCGGCAGCAGGAGTGGTTGTTCCAGGACCTACCGGACAGCTTATGAATAATGGGTCAAGGGATATGTCTTCTGCTGATCTTCAGAAACTGCAACAACAATTACACGATATCAAAGAGCAGGTAAGAAATATTTTAGATATGTAGCAGTAGCATGGTAGTAGATAGAAAATGAGAAAAGTATATATTTACAAAGTTATGGTTAAAATTATTTTGTAGTGTATATAAATTTTCATCATTTGTTCTTAACATCTTATGTAAAGTTCACATTTTTTACAAACTGAAATTGAGACTTTTTCATGTAGAGATTGAATTCATTATTTTTTTTTCTTGTTAATGAGAAATATTTGATTATTTTGTATATATATGAGAATACCAATGGAACTAATACTATCATCACAAATTGCATGATTTTCAATTCAAGTAATGCTATCCAAATTGTAACTAAGACACAAAAATCAATAGAATAAGAAGAAACATATTGGGATATTTTAAATTACAAGTGATGATAGTAATGCCATTTTGTCATTTCAAATTCACTCAATTAAATTAGGCCATACTGTATGTTATCTGGATTACTCATTGAATAGGGCATTTTGATAATGATGCTATAGGATTGGTAATTATTCATTGCTAATATAACTTCTTAAAAGCAAATTTCCTGTAAAAACTTTCTCATCATATCACATATCATATATGTAAAATTATTTCTAGATTGTATGTATCCCAACATGTATACATCAAAATTATAGTTTTAAAGCAGTCTGAATAACATTTTCCATACATATTTCATTACCAGAGAGGACTATTACAACCACTTGTAAGAGAAGATGAAAAGAAGTAAGGATTAATGGTTGAGGGATTAAATAATAAATCTATTATGGCTAAATATGATCTCTCAGTTAAAAGAAATTATGAGCTTGGAGATGAATGATAAAATACATTCATCAGGAATTTTTTTATTAACTTTTTTTATTCTTTTTCCATTTTTTATTACAGTACCATTTTCTGTCCAGTTTGTCAATTGACCGCCTAAAAGAATAATGATTTTCTTAAGTGTGGGCATGGAAACTTGCCAGATGTGCGGTGACCGTAATGCATGAGTGCCCATTTTGCCGCGGAAGCCTGAGAAGAGCGGATTCTTGTCTTATTATGAAGTTGGACGAAGTGTAAAATTTTTGGGGGAGGAGAGGAGGGTGGAAGGAAGCCTTCCAAGATATTCACTCCTGCATTGTCAATTCTTATTTTTGTAAG